TGGCTCCGGGTTATTGAGGGTTGGTTTGCGGTTTATTTGAACTTGGTTTTTATTTTTAGGGTTCGTTTAGGGGTTATTTAGGGTCGGTGTATGAGTTGTTTTAGGGTTATGTTTGGTTTATTTAGGGTCAATTTAAAGTCTATTGATGGGTGGTTTAGAGTCGATTAAGGTTTGTTTTGGGGTTATTTAAGGGCTTTAGTGTCTAATTACGGCTGCTTTAGAGAGACTAGAGGATCGGGAGATTCAAACACCACAAGACTTGACAAGGGGGAAAACACTGCACCAGCGCAGGAAATATGATGTTTTTCTGTTGATCCCTTGAATATGGTCTCATTGATGCCTCAAAACAAATATGTTTTGATGCATGTTTAAAACAAATGAACCCCATGCCATCTTAACAGCTTTTAAATGGAGGGTTCAACCATAAACCACGTCACCACACACTCTTTGGATAGATGTTTTCAGATGATTGGAAAGCTGGAAAAAGTTGCGGTTGAAATTCTTCAAAACAAGAAACTATGAGGACTCAACTAGCCTATATCAATGGATTGGTTTGAGGGAAAATCTTAACCGGAAACCACAGATTTTCCCATTTTTCATATGGGGCTTTCCTGCAAAACTTTCCCTTGAACCAATCAACTAACCTATACTAACCATCAATTACCAATCCATGATGTGCATCAACGAGGTCTTTCTGTATCGATGATCAAGGCTTTTTTGTGCACAAAATGTCCCATCAAATGTTCCAAACATGTGGATGGTTGCGAAATCCAAATCACCAGGCAGGGTAACCATGAAGCGATTCCTATGGCATGTTTAAATATTGCGGGATGAGAAGTAGGATTTTGTCCATCTACCAACTGCTGATTCGGATTCTTATGAACAGTATGATATTAAAAACACGTCTCAAAAATGGCCCACAGTCTTCATCTATCAACAAAAAAAAATGGACCTGCAGTTTCACTCAATCTCGATAAATAGCTAAATGATGACACATAAATGGCTATTGTTTCAGGAAGTTTCACAAAATAGGGCTACCCCAAATCCAAAGTTAGACCATTTCATATTGAAACAACCATGGTGACAACCCTGGTGACGACTGGGGATCCCCCATGACTGAAGAGTCACCCTTCCCAGCCAGCACCACGCCTTTCGACATGAATTGGAAGCACAACTTCGTGGCCACCTGGTAGGCTCTCAACATGGCAATTTCCATAGGGAAAACATCGGAAAACAACGGACAACACCAGTGGATGCTATGGGGGAGATCACGGTTCTTCTGTCAAAGCCAGTTGGTTTGCTTTGTGACCCCTCATTTTGTGCCTTTAACGCCCTTTTTTGGATAGTTTTGGTGATTACAACCTATGTTTCCTGTCAAAAAGATTCAAAAAGCACATTTCGCTGTTCACAGCCTATTTGTTTCTTGCTAAAACCTCCTGTTTGATGTTCTTATCACCAGCTGGTTTACTCAGAATATGATCCTAGTTACTTAAACCCCCTTGCTTCACGTTTCCAAGGCTGCCATAGGCCACAGGTCATCCATATTTACCCAAGTATTTCTTCAAATTCTTCCTAGGTTAGATAGATAGATAGATAGATAGATAGGTAGATAGATAGATAGATGGATAGATGGATAGATGGACAGATGGACAGATGGACAGATGGACAGATGGATAGATAAAGAGATAGAACAGACAGACAGACAGACAGACAAACCGATAGATCTGGTTGGTGGTTTCAACCCCTCTGACAAATATTAGTCAAATGGGATTATTGTTCCCAATATATGGAAAAATGAAAAATGTTCCAAACCACCAACCAGAGATAGATCTCCACCAAAAACCCTACTTCAAATCATCAATTCCCAATTGGAATAGAACTCAAACATCAACAGCCTGTCCAAAAAAGTGAGTTTAACAACCTACCCTAAAATCCCATAATTCTTCGCGTATCAGGCGTTCTCCCCAGACCCCAGATCCTTCTCCCCCCTTTCGGAGATCAACAAACTTGTAGCTTGGGTATATCAATTATCCCACTACATCCCACTTGGTTCTCTCCCATGAGTTATATCCCACATGATGTTCCCCACAGGATATCCCCAATATACCATACAGTTTCCCCCATGTTTCAAATGCCTATTTTTTCCGTGATATCCCCATGATCTTCCCCATTCTATCCCTATTCAACCACCATTTTTCATGCTGAACCCACCATGTTTGCCCCATGTTTCATGGTTAGCCCAGCATTCGGAACCGGAGGTCAAGATACGAGATCCGGCTGCTCTCGAAGCTCTTGATCGCTGTGCGCGAAATTGCACGCGTCACCCATCGTGCAACGATTGGAGGCCCAATACCTCGCTGCGTCGCTGCACAGATGCTGAGTGTGCCCCAGTTTGGAGAGGTAAATATGGTCAGCTGGCCCGAAAAACATGTGGATTTAAGCGATGTAACGATAGAAAAGCGTTGAGTTAATGACCTTGGATTGGAACAATAACTAATCTGGTAGGAACAAGAAAGAGAAGAAAGAGAAGAAGAACAGCAACGGCGAGAACAACAGAAGCAGCAACAACAACAAGAAGCAGAATAAATGGAAGCTGTTGGGGATTAATACCTCAAGCAAAAGCTCCGGTCGTCTGATAAAGCTTGATCGGACTGCTGGCTTGGAAAATACTTGTTTTTTTGGTTCGAACAGGACATGATTGATTCTAAGATATTCTAAGATATATTATATTGTATATCTCCTATCATACACAAGTACTATATAACAGGATACTATTCCAATAACCTGTTATAAATATAATAAACCTTGATAAACCTTGATTACATATCCCCTATGTTATAACCTGTTGATAACCTGATAAATAATATATACATATAATAAACCTTATAAAACATATGATAAATTCGTAACGGATCTCACACCAAAAAAATGGGGGCCTACAAGGATGATACCAGCTGATACCAAGGTTTACTCAGCGATAGTAAGTAGATAGCAAAGGAATAAGGATGATAATATATCATAAGTGTTATATAATAGTTATATATGTTAATATGAAAATATCATCGCGTAAGATCTTGTTTTAACAAATTATAGCCATTATTAATATAAGTAAAAAAAACAAACCATTATATATGTGTTATATTTTTTTGTCGATATGAGAACTGACAACCTGGTTATTCGTTTGTAGAGTAATAAGTCACGTCATCGTGCGATCGATTCAGATTGAACAAGTTGGACCACATAAAACGCTAACCGCATCGACTGAAAGAATTGACCTATCTATATAAAACGGGCTACAACGATATATCATTCCCTCTAGTTTTCTCAAAGCTGGCTTGGAAAGAACCCGCTTTTTGGAGGTTGAGAAGTTAAGATCTTCTGGAATAATCTAGAATCATCAAAAACATGGTTTAAAAACAACCGTTTTAAGCGTATTTGAGGACAGCGATGCGGGACCAGAAAGGTTGATTTACCCAAACGGCTAAAACTTTTACCTGTCTAGATGTGGAGTTTAGCCATGGGGAAACCCAACCGGAACATGATTTATACAGAAAATGGTGGGTAAACTATGGTAAACTCCACATCAAACTGTAAGTTTCCGGTTGATTTTAACATATTTTTAACACTGTGTGACCTGAGTCACTGAGGGGTCACCCATGTTTCAATAGGCAAATCATCATAATTCATCTATATAATATATATATATGAACCATTTTCCATAGCTATATTCAATAACCAAAGGGTAAGACATCTACATCTAAACATCCATCTTGGTTTAAGCACTTTTGTACTAAGAAAATCATTTTCGGCACCCTGCCAAAGTGCAAAGACAACATGTGATTTAGGTAGTTGGAAAACATATCCCTGCTAGCGAACGCTTAAAGCATAAATACCCATGGACTTCATATGAAATCCATGCCAAATCCCAGAGATCAACTGACTTGTGACCCCAGTTCACCGAAAAATACCCACAGTTGCAGATATCAAGGGTGAAAATGGCAATTTTGTGGCTTAGTTTTACGGGTTTACAACTGCAGTTTATCCGATTTATCCTCAACCGCCATCCTTCGCAGAAAAGGTACTTGCACATTCTGGTCAACTTCAACGTGCTGCGCGTGTCCGAAGTGGTCATGATATCCCTTCGAAATGGAATCGCGACTCGACTAGGCCGGTCTTTCAGAGACTAAAATCACTTGAACACTGCGGACAGCAACTTAGTCATACAAAGCATCCTACTCCATGGTACGCCCCAACAATAAAGGCTTACAAGGCATGGTTGTGAAACCCCGTCAAGCCGTGCACAACAAGGCAAATTTATGAAGCTGCGGTTGGGAGAATGACCTTTCGGAAATCTTGACCGACTTCGGGAATTACTGCGTCGGGTTCAAATGGAAGAAACTGATTTTTGTTCATTGAAATTCCCCCCATTTCTGGGCGAAAACCCAAATTCCGCACAACATTTCTATGGCTTACATCCCCATTTTCTCTTCATTAGATCCCCATTTCGCGAACCAAAAAACACCTTAAAGATTCTGGTTGCTACCCAATCTCTGTTGGTGAAGTCCCATCTCTGTTGCTTGTTTCAATCACCTCAATCCATTCCATCCGAGTTTTTGTCGCCTTTTCTGATAGGCGCTCTCCGTGACCACTCCGCAACGGGACCACTCGCCAGGTGCGACCAGGTGACGCTACCAGGGCGGTGTGAAAACCCTCGGAGTGTTCGTCTTGGAAGAGTGGCAGATCTTGAAATCCTTCGATTTCCGAAGCTAGACTTGGTTAGGGATGGGTCAGACAGTGCAAGTTTAAAACATGAATATCTGTTTTGAAATAGATGGTAAAATAGGAGGGGGTCAATTCGGAAAATTGGCTGCAATCTTGAACTTTGATCCATGTTTGACCCATACCATCCCATACCTGCTTGAAAGTTCTCAGAACTGTGCTCAAAAAACTCCATGAGGAAGCGTTGGTCAGCAAAATCTAAGATATTCGTATAGCCGGGCGCCAAGCAAAGAGGGCACCATTCATTAAAGCTTTGATACCGGACCACCCCCTCAGAAGCTTCATGAGGTTTTTATAAGTGCCCTTTGGCACAGCCAGCAGCACTTTACAACAAGCTGTTGGCCAAAATTCATGAAGTCGCAGCGGGAACCGGCGGTCTCAAAGCAAGATCATCCCACTATTTGGAGATCATCCCACTATGGATTCCTAGGATTATGCCAGGCAGTTATGATCCCTGATCCTCCACGTTTTTTGGGGGAAAACAGGTGTAGTAATCCGGTGGGAACATGATTTCATAAGATGGACAGTTTTCACAAGAATTGAAACCATCAGTGATTTTGTGTCATGCTGACATGAATACATATACATATATATGTTGAATACAATCTAATTATCCATGTCCACAATTTAAGGCTAAAGGATACCAAGCATGCATGTAAAACTCCATGCAAGATACATACTAAAATGGGAATCCCACGCATCTGTCCGAACATGACAACCAATGTGAACCAAATTGGAGCAACTGGGTAGTGATCAGCATTGATACCTGAAGTGTCTGGTCATTTGGGGAAGATTCCCCAGAGTCTGAGGATCAAAAATAGTGACACTGTAGAACTCAGCCGCGTAAATCATGAAATTCCAATGTTCCATGGTCACCACCACATAATTGTCCATATTTAAACTTAGTTATAAGTATTTTTTCAGTTATAGATGTAACCCATACAATCTCACAATCTTTGGCATTTACATGCATTTACTAAGCATTCCCATAAGTATTCCCAGCAAGTTACCTTCGTTTCAAAAAAAAGCTGTGGGCGTTGCCCGAACCATCCCCTTCCTGCACCATGGATCATCCCGCTTGGTAGCTATTGAAGCCATCCAAAAAATATCATTACCCTCTGGTAAACATACAAAAAGCTATTGAAAATGGTCATAGAAATAGTGGATTTACCCATTAAAAATGGTGATTTTTCATAGTTATGTTAGTTTACCAGAGGGTAAGTTGGTTTATAAACCCCATGAATACTATATAGTTGCCCCCATGCTCCATGGTGCTGGCATATTTGCCTTGGCAAATACCCCCAACAGTGACCCAAATGTAGGTAAATATTCAATGCATGGAGCATATATAAGTATCATAAACCATAGTTATTAAAGTTATTGGCACTGTTTCTTAGCTATCTCAACCACTCATACCAATCATCCCTAACTCAAATGGTTGACAAAACCAACCAAATTTTGAACCCCCCGACATACATTTTTTCATGAAAAACACCCCATAGATCCGGCCCCTTCGCCACTAAAAGCATCATTTTGGGTGGCCTCCCCGTTTACTCATAGGAGCGATGACAAATACCCCTATCCCATCTCATACTGGTTTAAAAAAAATCTTGTTGTGAGTTATAGTTAGGACCCAATAACTGGCCTAGTATAACCCCCGATATTAAGCCATCAACGGAGGTATTTTTAGTGGCTCATACGGAATATATGGGTGTGTCTGAAAATGGGTGCATCCCACTTCGTGGCCGTTGAATGGAAAAAAATGATGATTCATCAGCGGGTCAAAGGGTACCCCTTAGACAAAGCCATAACGGTTGGTGGTATATCTACCCCTCCAAACCACCAACCAGCATATATCCCGTCTGTTTGGATTTTTGTTTGGTGTTGATGGCATTCACCGAAGGGGTTTTTCAGCGGGCCCCTGGGGAACCCAAAGAAGCTCACGAGTCCTGAGGGAAAACCTGCGTGCACCATATTTCATGAACACCCCTTTCACACTTTTCGTTGCAAATACATTACTATGACACTTAGCACACCCACTTCAATCTGGATCATTCGGAATCACACTTGATATCATCATCTGGGTCACTAGGGCCTCTTGCTTCGTGTTCCCAAACCATATCGCATCACGCGAAGCATCGCGCATTGCAGTCCCATCTGCCAAGTACAGATGTGACTTTGGCGAAACTCCACGCTCTTTGGCGAGCGCGCACGCCACGTGCCGGCGAAACGGCTCATTCTGCTGTGCCAGCAGCACAGGCAGGTCACTGACAAGGTCACCGTTGAAATCCATTGAAGCCCCGCCTTGCGGTTTTTTCTGCGGCACCAAGAAAGGGGCCTGTATCCTTTAGGGCAATACAAGCTACAAGATGACAACTATATGTCACTATTCATTGTAGTTGGATCAATTATCTTGACTATTACATATAAACAGAATTAAACAAATCATTTGTTAGAGACTATTAGCTTATCTATAGCCCCTGTGAATTCCCGGAAACCATGACTGAGCAGCATGGCTTTGATTTGGAAGTCCTTCAAGTTGAAGGATGTAAAAAGTAGCATGGCAAATTGTATTTTTTTTGTCAGCTTTAGTCTTGAAAATGTACCCTCTGGTTATTTGACATAGCTATCAAAAATCACCAATTCATAGATGGATGTGGGTCAAAACCTGGTACCCCTGGTGAACCCCAAAATAGCTGGGATTTATGGATGTTCATCCCTCTAAAAATGGTATTAATAGGTATTGACCCATACCCAGATAATAATATCCCTATTATCTTGATCGTGATGTTCCATACGTTTAATAACCAGAGGGCAAAATTGTGCTTCGCCACCATCCGCCAGATGTGTACAAGACGATATACCCTATTCATCCCCTATTTTGTAGGGTAAACTTAGATGTGGAAAAGCCATGAACACCTATGGCTTTCCCTGGGAATTGATGCTCTTGATGTTCCTCATCTACATCACCATGAGACTCGGGCCCATGCTTCACCAGCACATGGAAATCCCACGAAATGATCCATGTTCAGAATACCACGGTTGATTGGTAGGGACTTATACTACCTCATTGATTGGGGGATTATGATAACCCACAGTATAATGAGATGGGATATAGAGCTGTTTTTGATGGCTCAAATGGAGCTTCATAGCTGGGGAAATCACCAAATGTTGCAGTTTCCAGCAAGCCACATGTACAGTAATGTACCCGGGTAATATGAATCATAACGTGAAAGAAAAACTCCAACGAAATCGCAGACTGTGGATCCAAACCTAATGGCACCCCATAGGTGTTTCACCTCAGTTCGTATCCGTTAGTGTCACATGGTCACCCTGACATTCATACATGAACATACTAGCCCATTCCAATTTCAATGACTTCTACCCTCTGGTGAACTAACATAGCAATGGAAAATGGCTATTTATAGTGGATTTTCCCATTAAAAATGGTGATTTTCCATTGCTATGTTAGTTCACCAGAGGGTATCTACCCTGGCCGTTGACAGTTATCCCCATCACAAGTACCCGACATCTAACGTGGAACCCACCAGTGATACGTATTGATACGTTCAATTCAGCGATTTGAGGGTCGCTATCCTGGACATTTCCCATTGGGAAAATAAAACATCTGGTGTATTTCCCATTGGGAAAATAAAACATCACTGACTCAACAAACCCAATGGGAAATAATTTGATATTTATATATTATTCAATTTTGGAAATTGTTGATATATTCCAATAATAATAATATGCCAATAATAATAATATTCCAATAATAAAAATTCCAATAATAAAATTAACAATATAATTATATATTCCAATAACAATAATATTCCACTAATAATAATTCCAACAATAAAATTAACAATATAACTATATATTCCAATAATAATAATTCCAATAATAAAATTAACAATATAACTATATATTCCAAGAATCACAATATTTCAATAATAATAATTCCAATAATAAAATTAACAATATAACTATATATTCCAATAATCATAATATTCCAATAGTAATAATTCCAATAATAAAATTAACGATATAACTATATATTCCAATAATAATAAAAACTATATATTGTTCACAAATGGAATAAATTTCACCGTGTCAGTGGAATATCCCATTGAGAAAAATCTCTAAAGTACAGTACAAAATTGGCAGGTCACTATTTTTCCCTGGCTTGCCATTGTAAACACAATCACTAGTCCTTATTATCATCCTACATTCAGTGGTTAAATATCTAATTCAAATAGCTTGACATTGTGGGGTAACACAAAAACTCATTATTATCCATACATTAAGTGGTTAAATAATGTTAAATATCTAATTAATTCTAATAGATGGCCGGTTAAGTTGGCCGCTTGAAATCCATGCCTACACAGCCTATCAAATCTATCCAGCACATTGATTTTGATGCGCATCCCGTTAAGTTGCTTCTTCCCGCCGATCTAGAAACCCTTCAAAAAGCACATGTAGATATATATATATATAATGTATATGTATGCCGATATTCCATGTACAACTGGCTTCAAATGTCTTCGTTTCCCAGACGCGTCAAAATTCCGCGCCTTTCAAAACCAGATGGCACAGTCACCTCCGACGGAACCAACGGGTCGGAATTCCAATGGAAATCATGAGATAGAACCCAGTTATAAGTGGGATACGTAGGGTTAATCCACCTATAACTAGGGTTACAACCCACTGTACTTATATTATTCTACCTATAAGAACTGATAGAACTGATAGAATATATACTTATACTATACTTGTACGGATACGTAATAATATGCCAATATATAGTGTTAATATGTATATATCTATGATACACGGGGATCATCATTATTGTGGTTTCTAGCCCATAGTGTATATGTCTATATATAGATTCCCCAAAGGGAAAATGTTCAAATGATTGGGAAAATCATGTACAATTGGCATAAACCAACAACTATATTTATAGTAGATAAATTATAGATGATTTATAGATTGGTATGTATAATATTGTATAAGCAAATTAGAAATTATTAAAATCATTGTTTTTTCATGGAGAAACCATGGCTGGATTTTTCAGCAACAAACATGGCTGTTTTTGGGTTTCCAGCAAGCCAGGTTTGATTACCGCTATATCTGGGTAAATTACCCTCTGGTAATTTGTTGCGTAGCTATTGAAAATGACCATTCATAGTGGATTTTCCCATGAAAAATGGTGGATCTTTCAATAGCTATGTAACAAATTACCAGAGGGTATCATATTTCACGAACCTGAAATCTTGCGGCCATAAAAGGGGATGATGCCCCATATAAAAACCATGATTCCAGATATTCCAGGCTTCGGGAGGACAGTGAGGTCGTTAAATTTACCCAGGTATATATATATATGTAACTATTGATTATACCTAAATGGATTGGTCTTACCCAAAGATGTGGTTTTCTGCAAATGAACCAGCCTTAAACCAATAATTGCTGGGGCTGTCACATCATGTGGATTTGTTGAAGTTCTGAAAAAAATCCCTAAAGATCTTGGGAGTGCACTGCCAGAGAGCAACTCCCGCATCAAAAAATGGCAGTAAATTCCGCGATTTTCCCAGCCGTAACCTCCATAAAAAGTTTGGGATTTCCCTACCATGGTTTGATGATACTGGAGGGTACTGGCTTGGGAAAATCACCATGTTCTAAAGGTAAATCATCAATAATCATTTAAAAATTACTATACATTATTATAAAATGCAAAAAAAAAATGACTCGGCAAATCTAGGACCTAGGACTCGTTGCTAGCGGGATTACCAGTTCATGGGTCAAGTAGTTAAAACCCCATTTTGACCAACTTGTGTTTTTACTGGAATGATGCAAATAAAATTACTGGTTGGTGGTATACCTACCCCTCTGAAAAATATGAAAGTCAGTCGGGATGATGAAATTCCCAATATATGGAAAAATAAAAAAATGTCCCAAACCACCAACCAGAATTAAATCATGTTTTTTCCAGTTGGCTCATGTTGGGTCAGAAATGGGATGCAAAAAGACCCACCAAAAATGTCATGTTGCCTACCAGTTACAGTACAATGACATCCGATCTGTTACCATCAACAGCGGGTTTGAGCAGGTAAGGCTACCAATTGCACCCAAATAATCCGACATAATATATATATATATATAGAGAGAGAGAGAGATATAGATAAATTACGTGTACATATTATATAACTTATCAATATATGACCGGGCTTACTTCCGTAGCATTTCGTGCTAATCGTCATAGCAGCCATCATTCACCAGTCAGTCAACTTTCCATCAATGGGGGGTACCCAAAGAGCTGGATGGTTTATGGAAAATCCCCATTAAAATTGAAAACTGGGGCTACCCAAAAACCAAATTTCAGGAAAATTCTAAATTATCATATTTCACTAACCTGAATCTTGCGGCCATTTGGGGATGATTTCCCTTACTAACGATGATTCCAGTGAGGTCGTAGTGAGGTCGTTATAATCTCAGATATATACTGGTTGGTGGTATACCTACCCCTCTGAAAAATATGAGTTCGTCAGTTGGGATGATGACATTCCCAACTGTTGCTGGAACAATAAAATTCATGTTCCAAACCACCAACCAAATATCCATTGATTATTTCCATATATCCATAGTATTTCCATATATATATATATGTATATATTATATATATAATTAAATCATGATTTTTCCAGTTGGCTCATGTTGGGTCAGGGTTTAAAAACCATAAAACCATATCAAATAGAACAAGGTCGTTATAATCTCAGATATATTGAAACCCAAACAAAAGACACGCCGGTCGTCCACATTCCAAGGCGCGTTCCAGGCCCGGAGGCGCAAGAACGGACTCCGCGAGTCTCTCGTCCTTGGGTTCAAGGCAGAGTTGATATGTCGTTTTTCAATGGCCATAGAAATAGTGGATTTACCCATTGAAAATGGCGATTTTCCATAGTTATCTTAGTTTACTACAGGGAAAATGGGAATGGTTCTACTGGTTGGTGATTTTGACCATCTTGAAAAATATGAAAGTCAATTGGGAAGGATTATCCCATATATTATGTAAAAAATCAAAATGATCCAAACCACCAACCAGGGAATAGTCCAAGTCAAGAATCAGGAATTGTCCAACTCAGGAAATGTCTAAGTTTAACTCATAATTGTTTTAGGAATTATCCTTAACTCAGGAAATTTCCGACGATTGTTTAAATCACCATGTTCTGATGTTGGTGTAATTTGCCGCAGTTCGGCCTCTTTCGCAAGATTTCAAACTGCAGGGTGAAGGGTCAGCCTGCACAGTGAAACAAACCCTGTGCTTCTTTACCAACAAATTTTGAGATAACCTTCAAGGTTGTTTGGCTACACCCTTGTGGTCCCCTTGTTGGAAACCATTTGTTTCACCACAGTTCACTTTGTAATGGTTCAAACTACTGACCGCAACCATAACTCGTGGCACTTCATCACTTATACAGGAACTCAAGAAGATAGAAAAGGTCCAACTAAAATAGTGATAAATTACGTTTCTATTGTTTGGGGTGATTACTATACACATAATTCATAACAAATTCTAGGAATATCTAAATTGAGAAAATTTGTGGGACCGTATTCTGCATGTGTACCCCAATTGTGCCCCACAGATGTTCCCTATTTTTTTTGGTGCACTTGTGGGTCCTTGGACCCGTGCTTAGGACTGCATTCCCCATCGATTCTGGCCAGAA